TTCATTCAGGTCTCCAGGTTGGGTGGCAGGGGCCAAAACACTTAGGTCATTTTCTTATGGAGTAGCCAGGACTAAAACTAGTACACATATGGGATGCTAATTTCACAAGTACTGGCTTTATCCATGACAATACAACACTGGGCCCCAAAAGTTATACTTTAAATAAAAAGTGGCACGCCACAGTTTGGATGTAAGAATGTAGAAAATGTAAGCATTGCAAAATGTACACATGTGCAGTTACTTCAAGGCATAAAATGTGAAACTGAATAATGCAGATAAACCTAATGATATTTTTGCATAAATACTATTATACACCTAAGCAATTCTCACTTATGTCTAAGATGTTTGCCCAACTTTGAAAATGTATATGAAGAGTAAAATGGATATATTTACAAACGTTCATTAATGTTTTTTAAAATGTTTTCTTTCCCCTTTCCCGTCCTACACACCTATTCACCTACACACACACACACATTTTCACACTATTCTTATGCACTTCTTTTAGATTGAAATGATATTAAGAGATACTGACACGTGAAAATAAATTTAAGAAATCCTTCTCTCTCTGGCTCTTGAAGCAGCATAGCATAATAGAATTCTGGAATGGCTTTAGCAAATATTTGCCATGCTCCTGAACATTTCATTTTATTTAATTCCCTTATATCATTCCCATTTTATAGTTCAAGAATTTGAGGTTAGGGCCTGTATTGTAGCACAACAAATTAACTCAAGGTTGCAATTCTGATATATCATATGAACAGTGGTTCACATCCTCACAGCTCCACTTCTGATTCAGCTCCCGGCTAATGCACCTGAGAAAGCAGTACAAGTCGGCCAAGGTACTTGAGCCCCTGTCACCCATATGGGAGACAAGAATGGAGTTCCACGCTCCTGGCTTTGGTCTGGCCCAGTCCCAATGCTTCTAGTTATCTGGAGAACTAAACAGCAAATAAAAGATTCTCATTTTTCCTCTCTCTTTTACCCTCTGTCTGTAACCTTGCCTTTTAGATAGATAGATAAAGGCTGGTATATAGCAGATAAAGCCACTGCCTGAGATACTAGCATGACATTTGGGTGCCAGTTCATGTCCTGACTGCTCCACTTCTGATTCCACTCTCTGCTAGCAGCCTGAGAAAAGAAGTGGAGAATGGAGCCAGGTGCAATGGTTCAATGGCTAAATCCTCACCTTGCAAGCGTCAGGATCTCATGTGGGCACTGGTTCTTGTCCTGGTTGCTCCACATCCCATCCAGCTCCCTGACTGTGGCCTGGGAAGGCAGTGGAGGATGGCCCAAAGCCTTGGGATCGTGCACTCATGTGATAGACCTGAAAGAAGCTCCTGGCTCCTGACTTCAGACTGGTTCTGCTCTGGTTGCTGTGGCCATTTGGGGAGCAAACCAAAAAATGGAAGATCTGTCTCTCCATTAAAACAAAAATCTTTTAAAAAAGGGAATAATTGGAGACCTAGATGAAGTGTCCAGCTCCATGCTGGCCTGACACTGGTCACTGCTGCCATCCGGGGTATAAACCAGTGGATACAAAGTCAATCTCTTTCTGTAAATGTTACAAATAAATGAACACATTTGTTTTTTAAAAGTCAAGGTCCTAGTTTTGAAATTTTATGCTTCCCACCTCTGGGGAAGTACCAGTAACAACACCCCAATTCACCTCCATGCCTTTACTTGGCTGCTTCCACTTTGGTAACCTGCAGCAGTGAGAATGACTCCAGGACAAAGTAAAGCACTAACAGGCCATATGTATGCAAACTTCAGAGTACAGATTCACTAATCAGATCAAAATGTCATTCAGAATCTCATGTGGACGGTAGTTACCCAAACAACTAGGCAGTGTCCCTGTGTAACGAAGATTTCATCGTGTATCTTGTAAGCTGCCAAAAAGGCTCTGCTAACACAGCTCAGATGCATATATTTATAAAACCAAATGGAAGCCCAAGCACAACTGCCTGACAGGGCTTTAATGTCTTACCCCAATAGGAAGGTGAGGGCGCTACAGCAAATCTCATTAAAGCTTTAGTTTTAAATTAGCCGTTGCTCCGGGACATTCTGTGGCTTTGTGAACAGTTTTTGAGTCTCCTGAGCCCTCACTTTCCCTCACTCCCATAAATGGCTCAGCTCCTTTCTTCTGCCCCACACATAACATGGGCAAGATCACACCTGGCCACTGATCCCTGCTCCCCACCATTTGGTACATATTATTTAGACTCAGTGATCATAAAACAGGAACAAGGCAGAGTCTACATATGGTTTAGCTCAGGCATTCCCTGCGGATGGCTGACTTTACGCTCTCATAACAGCAGCTGCGAGCTGGGAGCAATTGAGTCCTTAATGGCCAAAACAGAAAGGGACTACATCACTGAGCACCTCCTTACAGCCAAGGCCTTTCCTTCTGAATGATAATGACATGAAATGTACTCCCCTTGCACAAATGCCCCAAATGCACCAAGGCTGCACATGCACGAGCCTGCACATGAATACACACACATACACATATGCACACATGCATGTACCTACAAGGCAAGATCAGAAAAACTAAAGATTAATTTTATTTAGGTTCACTATGTCTCTGCAAAATCCAAATGCAAATTGTAGAGTGAAAGTCTAGAAAGGTCGAATGCAGGACAGACAGGTAGGGCAGAACGATGATTAGATCACAGCGGCAGACGACTCGGCTTTCCACTTTTGGATCTTCCATTAATTCTAACAGTTTGGGCAAAGCCTCCCTGAACTTCAATTTTTTTTAAATCAGTGGGATTGGGCTAGCTAATCTCTCAAGGCACTTCTGACATTCACATTATAGTGAAATGTTCGCCATAGTGAAATTTATTCAGTTGCACATCTGTCTGCCAACCAGACTGTGACACTTGCAAGAGTTAAACTATGTCTTGGGTAGTTGTGACTATCCAGCATTTAAGTGCCATAAGCAATGTTTACTAAATAAACCTTCTTGTCTAGCACCTGATCAGACCAGAGCTACCAATATGTTGCCAGGTTCCCAGCTGACACTGGGAGGAAAAAGCACCTGAGGATATAGTCTCTAAAAGACATGCATGAGACTTTCACACCCTGTCTTTACTATTGTCAGCTTAATTTTTCCTTTTCCTAGAGACACTTCCACACCTCTGGATCACTTGCTTTGTGTCTGACACATAGTGGACAATCAGACCTTTAGGTGAACGAACAGTGAATGTGCTTTTTGTCTTTCTAGTTCTGTGAGATTTATTTTGGCATAAAATCCTAGAACCTGACCTCAAATTAAAAAGCAGTCAAGGGAATAATTAGCCACCAAAGACGACCATTGTTACAGCAGACTTTACTGCTCATTTTACTATAAACTATTTTCTCAGTAAATGCATTTTCAACAGCTGAGATTGTAAACCAGGCAATTAGAGCCATTCCATAAGTAGCCATGCTAAAGCTTGCATCATTTTTGTCTTCCTTTGAGGTTTAACTCACCAAAGAAAGAAATTACCCCTATCATTTTGTCCTTGTTGAGTTTTCAGACAAGAATCGATGGCCTGATTTCCCTCTGTATTCTGGATAAGCAAAGGCTCAAAGTACACAAGAGCAGCAGTCTACAGAAGTTACGGACATGACTCAACCAAGCCAAGCAAGCCAGCATTTAACTTTTAGCTCCTATCACTTAACTGGCTTTCCCATTTTGGGCAAAGTAGGCCCCATCTTACAGCAACTGTGAAATACTGTTATGATAGCTGGCTAACAGAGCACCTGAGGTGTGGCAGGAACTCAATAATGCACCTGTTCCTACAAAGCTCACAGTACTCAAGAATCAGGCACTCCCTTAGGAGGATCTGAAGTGGGTGCCTCTTGAAGTTCTCTAAGAATGTATGACAAACACCAAGTGCTGCTGCCTCATGCACAGATTTGTCCTTCCCCAATCATAAATCCCATGAGGCTTACAGTGATTGAATCAAGTCTACAAACAAAACAGGGAGCATGGATATTTTCCCTTGATTATGCTCTAGTATAGGTTTTGCTTAATGGGTTCTAGCCATGTCTCCTGTGTTTCAAAGCATTACTCAAAATGATAATGTGTTATACATGGTAAAGATCATAAGTGAATTCAGAAACAGAAAATGAACAGTATCCAAATTCCAAACTTAGTACCTAAATCACAATTTCTGAATTCTTAGACTTTCACTAACTATGGCTGGATCCCTTTGGGCAAGCTATAATTTCACGAAGCTTCAATTTCCTCATTTATAAAATGGAGATAATAGTTTCTATCTCATAGGGTTGTTATAAGGATTATGATAACAGACACTACTACCATTATAATAATGCTAATAACAGGTAACATTTACTGAAGACTTACCATGTACCAGACTATCACGTTCTCCCCAAGAAGGGAACACTGTATAAAGTTAGTTTACTTATGTCAAAGTAAGAGTGACAGAAAGGGAAAAATCAAAAGCTATCTTTCATCCACTGGCTCATTCCCTCAAATGCTCACAAAATCAAGGAACAGGCCAGCCTGAAGCCTAGAGCTTGGAACACCATCCAGGTCTTCCACATGGGTGGCAGGAATTCAAATAAATTGGCCAGCATCTGTTGCCTCCTAACAGCGTTAGCAGGAAGCTAGATTAGGAGCAGAGGATCTGGGATTTAAACCAGCACTCCAATACAAAACATAGGCATCCCAAGTGTGAGCTTAACTCACTGAGCCACAATGCCCAAACCCAAGAAAAATATTTTTCTCTATTTGATGAATCAGAAAGCTAAAGATCGGAAGGATAAAATGACTCCTTCACGTTTTGCAGCAGGAATGAAAGAGGTAGAGTTTGAAGTCAAAGCCAGGTTTTTGGAGTTTATAGCCTGTATTCTAATGCTCTGCTGAGCTGTTGAGTCCTTCATGCCTACTCCTTATTTTTACTCTCATTTTTCTATATCAACACCTGCTGCTGGCGAGTCTGTGCCAACCTAACCAGGCCTAATTCCTCTGAGAATAGCAGATTGGTACTCACGGTGGTGGTCAGTTTTCCTCCATTTTTCTGCACATACTGGATGGAATCATGGATTGTCGAAAAGAGACCAAGCAGTACATTCTCCATGTCATAGATTCTGTACATGCCATTCACAAGCTCTTCAAGAGACAGGATGTATTCTCTCCAATACTTGTCAATCTCCACCACACCTGCCATACAGCCTTGCATGACCACATTGCAATAGCCACCACAAGGCTTAACCATCATCAGTCCCTGGCAGTAAGAGCAGTACCACATCCTGGTGAGCATTCGGCCACAGTCCTTGCTGAACTTGAGGTGATCAGTAGTGTTGATGACTTCGATGCCGAGATTCAGGGCCTGAAGGAAGATCCTAGTGACTTGCAGTGACTTGGAAACCTGGGTCATGATCAGCTTAGGGAAGTTGCCAAATACTTTCAGGTCACGTCTTGCTCCTCGGAGGCACTCGTTGATGTCGAAGGCTGACTCGGGCAGACCAGGGTTCATTAGCTGGGTATAGATGACGGGAAACAGGCTGTCAAACAACTCATTGACCATGTCATCCACATTGATGTCAGAACCGAGGATGTAGAGAGATACGTCTGTGAAGAATTCACCCACAAACTCATAAGCTTGTGGGGTCAGGCTTGGGTAGTTATTCTTGAACATGGCGTTGGTGTAGTTCTTGGCATGGCGAACAACAATTTCAAAGGCCTCTGTAAGAAGAGATAAAGAGAAATGGCCACAAATTAAAGCATGTAAATCCAAGGTGTAATTGAATTCGAGATTTTTCCAATACTGTGGTGATTAAGGTCCCATTTGCCTTAAATAATTGACCCTCATTTAATTCTGGCATCGTGTCTACTCCTGCAGCTGCTTGTTCCTGTAAATCAATTTTCGTTTTTAAACATGAGGCCCAGACCATGAGGTACACATAAATCCTTACACACATAAATTATATTTCAAATGACAAAAGCCTAGATTCAGTTAACATTTCAGACTTGCATGAAAATATTGATTAAAAATTGGCAAAATGAGGAGTTGTTTTTCTCTCATTGATTTATTCAGTTAAAAAGAAATTGCATTTCAGGACATTTCATTTTTAGACAGAGATAAATATTTGACAACAAACTGCATGCTCTGTAAACTCGCGTAACAATTTAAGCCTGTTCAGTCCCAGAGAAGCAAGTCCTTAGCCAAGAATAAAAGCTATCATGAATTTAATTCTGTTAGTAGATTTTGTCTAGAAAAGTTTAAAGGGAGCTATATGACAGGTTGCCAAATAGGGAAATGGAATCTATCCACTGAATGGGTATCTGGATGGGGAAAAAAAAAATCTACGCACATATCTGCACATTTGATATTGAAAGTAACACCTCTGCTATTTGCAAGCTGAACATCTGGAAGGGTAACTGCTAAGCTTCATGGGTAAGTTTGCTTCCACATGGCTCAGAAGGTTTATCTCCTCCACAGAGATCACAAATCCATGATTACATCTGCTGCCCCAATACTTTGGCAGAAGGCCCAATTCATGCCACCGGTTTGAGAAAGTGGTAATATCACCATCTTAACAAACAGTCCAGACACAAATAACCCCAAACAACCAGAGAAGGAAATTCAACCACAATAGACTTCTCAATAAACAAAACAACTAGAACAAAAACAAAAATAATCCACTTTCCCAAGATATATAAAATTAACTTTATATTTTCTTTCATTTCCCTTAAACTTGCAAAATTCCATGACAGTTATGCTCCAGGAGATGACCGTAGGGACACCTTCTAAAAATCACAGCCCAAGAACTTAAGGCCAACACAATGTTGAGGTTAATCATAAAATTAGAGATTATCTCCACATCCACAGTAGCTTAATGCTATATCAACAGGTCCAAGGTATAGTAAAAGTCAATTACAACTGAGGAGGCTGCAAGACATAGACGCTATTTTAGAAGAAGTCCTCAAGAAAACTAAAAAAGGTAAGTATAATTCTGGAAACAGAATATAATGGAAGAAAGAGTTGAAAATTTTTTGGTTAAGGATTTTACAAAAATCAGGAAGTTCAGAGAACCTGCAGGTGGAATACTAAAATATGTCCTTTAAGACCTATCCTATTCAGACTGGAGAAAACCAAAGACAGAATCTTCAAAGAAGCTAGAAGGAAAGCACTGGAATACATTTCTAGAAGCTTTATTTATAATCACCAAAACGGAAACCAATCAAAATATCCTTCCATAGTATCAACAAGCTGGCAGCTCTCTACAGGAACCCTATTCAGAAATATGCAGAAATGAGTTCTCAACCCACCAACAGTCATAGAGAGGGACCTAGTTGAAATCCCCATTTCTAACCAAAAAGAAACTTGTCTGAAAGATTACACAGTGTACAATTCACCTATATGATCGTATGGACCCTAAAACGTTCAATGTTTGAGAGGGGAGGGGGAATTTAGAGAAGTAGGTGCAGGAGTATATTTTTGGAGTGATGAAGAAACAATTCTGTATAAGATGCCAACAGGACACGAGATGTTACACATTTGTCAATTGCACAGAATTATGGAACACAGAGTAAACATTAATGCATGCTATGGCCTATTATTAATAACACATCAATATTGGCTCATTAAATATAACAAATGCATCATATTATTGCTAAATGTTAATAGTAGAGGAAACTGTGGAAGGAGAAAGGGAGCATATAAGACTCTGCACTATCTCATGGGTTTTCTTTAAATCTAAAACTGTGCTAAATAAATAAAAAGTCTACTAGATTTTCACACACATAGAGAGAGAGAAATTGCACCTTGGAAATCAGCCCTTGCTGGAAATGGTAATTAGAATCACTGAAAAGCGTTAAGTCACTCCTTGTATTTTACCTCAATTTACTTTGACATTTTTTCGTGAGTAGGTGGTTTTAGCATAAAAATAGATGCCATATGGCACCAATGTAAACTTAATTGCAAAAAACTACTGGAGAAAGTTAATGGACCAAAACACCCAAACAGGTAACACATTTTAATATTAGTTCTGAATGCCAAATGATTTTTTAAAAATCAGTCAAACAAAAACCACAACTTTAGATTACATGAAAATCTTCACATTTAAAAAAACAGTTCGTAAAGAAAATACTAAAAACGTTGCTTCAGTGCCTGTTGATTTTCTGGGCATTTTATGTCACACATTAATTTTTATTAGAATTGATCAAGCATAGAAATAAGTTGCCATTAATGATAACCATTTATTTGGGCAGGTCCATGAACAGCCTATAAAATGAATGTAGTCTTGCATTTCAAGTTTCACACACTAGGCTTCTAAATATAAGGAAAAAATGATTAGAAATGAGCAAATGAATGAAATCTATTTTTCATGGGCTGCTACATATATCATTAGTTGACAGATTGATTGATTTTCCCCAAAGGCTGTTGCAAGGAGAGGACATTTGTAATTATTCACTCAAAGGTCCTTAGAAAGAAGTGGTTATCCCTGACTTCTAGAAAATGTATTATTGGTTTGCAACAGTTGACCACTCTTTTGTCACATGATCCCTATTAGTTCTTATCATTTACCCACCATTAGATTCTCTGAATGAATAGTTAACTTTAACCCCTGGACACTGAGATTCATGTATCTCATCATTTTCCCCTCTTTACATTTACTAGTAGAAAGCTTAGAGTCAAATATATGATCTTCCTCCATCAAGCACAATAAGCTTCATGCCATGCATCTTGCCTCACAACCTTCTTCTGGCTGCATCTCACCTTCCTACCTGACTGTCAAGGTATGTGGCTTGCATGTATTTTTTTTTTAAAGATTTTATTTTTATTATTTTTTCATTGGAAAGGCGGATATACAGAGAGGAGAGACAGAGAGGAAGATCTTCCGTCCAATGATTCACTCCCCAAGTGAGCGCAACGGGCTGATACTATGCCGATCCGAAGCCAGGAGCCTCTTCCAGGTCTCCCACGCGGGTGCAGGGTCCCAAAGCTTTGGGCCGTCCTCGACTTCTTTCCCAGGCCACAGGCAGGGAGCTGGAAGGGAAGTGGGGCTGCCGGGATTAGAACCGGCGCCCATATGGGATCCCGGGCGTGCAAGGCGAGGACCTTTAACCACTTGCGCCACCGCGCCGGGCCCAGCACGTATTTTTGCAGAGCACTTCAAATTGCTTTGGGGCAAGGTGGCATGTAATAAATGCATAGGCAAAGCAATGAAGAAAAAAACAAAGTCTACCACGAAAAGCCAAAGTGTCACTACAACAATGTATTCTTGAGTTTGAGAAGTGACTGTTACAATGCTGTACTCAGAAATGGCCAGGCCTGGTCAAGAACTTGTTAGCAGCCCAACATGGTCTACCTTAGAAGTTGTTAGGGTCCTTGGCTGAACAATGCAAATTCTGATGCTTTCACAATCTACATTTTTACTCTTTTACCACATCTTACAAATCTGGGACAAATGTGTTTGTGGTAAGTGTAAAGTTAGGTCGCCCTTAATGAGGCTGGCTTTATCAAGATTCAGAATGACTGTTTTCACACTGGATTTAGAAACAAGATATCCTTGAGAAGCCAAAAATGTAGCTTACACAGAACAGTATAGGAGAACTCGAAAGTAAAAAACAATCTGTCTTGCCGAACCCACTAAGGGTTAACATCCACTTTACTGTAGACACATCAAGGATAAAATCTATATGGCCAGCATTTTTCATACTCTCAACTTCAATCAAACCAGGCAATTCTTGGCTGCCTGGAAAATACATTTTTAAAGTGGATTTTTTTTTCATTTTTATTTTATTTGAATAGCAGGGAGACATCACCTGTTGGTTCACCCCCTAATTGCTTGCAGCAGCTAGGGTTGGATCTGGCCAAAGCTAGGAGCCCTAAAGTCCATTATGGATCCTTCACTTGGGCGGCAGGGATCCAAACACTCCAGCCATCACCACTGCTTCCCAGGGTGCACAACAGAGGGAAGCTGGAGCAGAGGTGAAGCAGCCAGGACTGACTAGGCACTCTGGCGTCCCAAGTAGTAGTTCAAGCATTTCATCAAATTCCCACTCTATTTGAAAAATTTTCTTGCTTTAACAAGATCCACAAAGCTAAGAAATGACATTCGCCAGTACACTTCAAGTTCAAATGTTTAGCTGTTTCAGTTCACTCTTTTTTTCCTCCAAGGTTTCATATATTAATGAATGAATGAAATCACTAGTGCAGAGAGAAAATCATTTCGCAAATTAAACATGCCCAACTGTCACACAGTTCTAACATTTTCAACTCCCTGCTAAAGTCCTGGGAAAGCAGCAGAGAATGGCTCACATGCTTGGGCCCCTGGACCCTTGGCTTCATCCATACCCAGGGCCAGCCATTTTGGAAAGTGAACCAGCAGATGAAGATCTGTCTCTCCCTCTTTCTGTGTAACTTTGTTTTTCAAATAAGTAAAGAGATTTGAAAGCCAAGATTCTGGTAATGACTTTTTCTTACAAAAACCCATATTTCTATTCAATATTTGTGTGGTTATTTAAAAGACAAAATAACTGGAGGAAATTTATGTTCTAGTTTGGCCAATAAATGTGTCCATTTTATGCAGTCTTGCTCTCCTTTGTTCATTTCCTCCTTTCACCACTTAGACACTAAATTAATATCCTAAGAAAGGTCAATTGTGGGCAGTTGATGGAACCATTGTTGGGGCGATAACTGTGTATGTAACCTGTTATTATGGGTTTCCACAGCACTT